CTGTCCTAGGCTACATGTTGCTTGCCCTGGGTTAAACTTAGCCTATGCTGATGCTACATGTTGCTTGCCTTGAGACCAACTCAACCTAATTCTTTTATTTCGATTCCCCTTAGACCTTTGGTTGGAGACAAATTTTATCAATTTTTGAGCTAATTGTGGCCTATAGCCCTTGTTGGAGATCACCAAACATTCCAAATAAACAATATTATTCAAGAATCAAAGCTATATTCATAAACATTTGAATCATGTTGATCAAGTCATGCAGTTGAACCAAATAACACACATCACATCATCGTCATTTTTATGAAAGGATGTAAGATGAACGTGAACATACGTGCATATATAGTAACTAAATTTTATCCCCTTTAACAATTAAAATATACAAATACATAATCAACAATTAAAATACGTCAACATACGTGTATACATAGTAACTAAACTTTATCCCCTTTAACAATAATTCACTTCAAAAAGGACACTTCACTTAACAAAAATAATAATTCTCTCTTCGTTAAAATCTTTTAACATTTCAAATAGGTCTTTGAACTTTTGATAATTAAACTTTGGTGCCTGAATTTGGTAGAAATTACATAATTTTCCCAAAATTGAAACTATTTTTGCATTTAGGTCCATGGTATGAAACCAGCGAGTTCCAGGTCAAAAATTTTTTTTTTCTTCCGGAAATTCCACTCCAACTTTCAAGCCAAACACAATCTATCAATACCGTTCCAGGTCCAATGGTAGAAAAATATCGTTCTTCAATCGGATTCTCGGATTGAAAAGTTATGAATTTCAGAAGATTGAAGGGTTTATATATTTTTCTTTTTCTCTCTATGCTCTGCCCTTGTTGTTCTGCAAAGAAGAAGAAGGCATGGAGTTATCCCATGGTTATGAGAAATTTTTCATTGTGATCGGAACATAGGTGGTATACTCCACGGTTATACCGCCTCACTCTTCCTTTCAGCGGTTGAAGGGGTGCTCGACATGTGGTACAACTTAATTCCATCTCACTCTATTCTAAATTCATTTAAAAATACATCCGACCTCAAAAAACTAATCTGAAAGAGGCTACGAACTCGTGATCTCGCCCAACTTCATCTTATAACCTTAAAAATAGTCCTTGAAAGAGGCTACTCTCTCACTTGTTCAAAATCAACCACAAATCATACAATTCGAATACACTTCACAATTCTCCAAAAATAGTAACAACACTTTCTAAACAATTTAAAATTTGAGGGGGTCTCACAGATACAATACAAATACAATTTATTTGTACAAATCATCACCTCTAAGTTGGTGAGTACCAAATAGAATTTAAGAAGTGAGTGGTTGACTTTGATTGATGCACAATCTTTTTCTTTTCTTTTCTTGAGATGGCATTCAAAACGTGGAGATGTGATTTAAAATGGGCACGCCTCATCATTCACAAATGTATCTAAATGGAAGAATGATCTTCTCTCTTTTTTCCTCCGTCCCTTCTCTCCTCTTTTCTTTTATTTGAAATGTTATCTTTAAGTCATATCAATATTTTATATTAATTTTTTTTAAAGAGAGAAAAATAAAATAAAAAATGTGAGAGGATGAGAAGAAAATAGAATGGAAGAGAATTATACTCCGTAAAAATGTGGAAGCAATAGTTAGTCAATACATCCCACCCACTATTTTTATATGTACATGCATAATTCCATATACACTAATAAGACCATTGCAATTTCAACTCAATTTAGAGGCAAAATTAAATGAATTTGATCATCACTTGTCTACTTTTATAATCCAAACGGGCAGCCAAAATTGAAAGACAAAAATATATGATAAAAAATGATTGATCGAGTCTCGTACATATCAAAGGACTAATTCTTTGTCTAACAGTACTTTTTGTTTTAATGTTTAGAGAAATTGAAGTTTAATTACTCTATTTGTCGTGTTAATCTGTTTCATCCAGTAGTACTCTCTTTTTCTTTGTCGAAAGATTTTTTCTTTTTTTTTCTTTAAAAGAAGGATGACTAATAGTAAGTCATGGTTATCCACCTCTTTTGGGATCGGGAAGACTCACAAAGGCATTTTAACCTCCCCTGACCACAAATTTGGCTTCCACACCAACAACCGGTTTTGAACCTGAGACTTCCAGTTTTTAATTTTAAGAAAACCTCGTAATTCGTCCTTTACCAATGGACCACCAGCTTATGATCTAAGGGTGTGTTTTTTTGCCTTCACCAATCTTAATTGGACTGGACTGGACTAGCAATGAATGTAGTCCCGTGTTTGTTTGATGGAATGATTAACTTTAGTGGGATTAAGAAGTACTTGCCTCGACTAACACCCTCACTAGAGGTTCTTAGCGAGTCCCTCCAAAAATAGTTGGATTGCTAAGACCGCCCCTCTAATCCTTTGCAGGCTTTCGTCAATCTCATCCTTTTGGCTAAGACTGGATTGCTGTAGCAGATCGATGACTTCCTCAGCAAAACGATCTCGTAATTTTGTGGGGGCGATTATGGGGTTTTAGAGGGATTGACCGACGACAACGACAAGCTTCTTGTTGTCTCCAGTCCAGCCTATCTTCCTCCTGCAAGCAGTGACTTAAGGTTATCTCTTCCACCTCCTCCTCGTTTTCTTTTTTCTAATTTGAAACAAATTCAAAGTTGCAAACTTTGAAGAAGAAGAAATTGAATTGTTCTATTCTTCTTGTCTGCAAATTCTTGAAGTAGCAAAGAAAAAATGAGAGCTTTATGCTTTTTTCTTCTTTTTTTTTGCGATTATCAATTTTGGCTGCAGTAGTCTAGTGGGTTTATGTGTTTTCATCAATTCAGAGCTTGAGGAAGTGAATGTAAAATCTTTTCTTATTTGAAGCTTTTGATTTTTGGGTTTTTGATATAGTGCAAGAATCTTTCAAGTGGAAATAATTCATGTGTTTTATGTTGTTGTTCATGGTGTGTGCTCAATTAATCGAGTATTTTGTGTTTAGAGATTTTTCATTAAACAATTGGTTGAACTTGCCGGTGTATTTGATTGCATTCAGTATCACCTGCATCTTATAAATTTAAGAATTCCAGACATCAAATAAAAAAAATAAAAAATAAAGGGAATCTTCAACTCCAATTTCTATGATGTATTTGATTGCATTTAGTATCACATGCATCTTATGAATTTAAGAATTCCAGACACCAAAAATAAAAGAGGGGGAGGGAGGGGGGGAGGGGAATCTTCAATTCCAATTTCTATGTTAATTTAAATTTTAAGCTTGTATTTTTATTAAATCTCACTCTCATCCAATATTATTATTCAATCTAACTTAATTCTTAAAATTATTCCAGCACGTTACAAATGCACATAATACCTTTTTTTTCCCGTTGTCAGAAAGAAATCTAAGTTTGAATATCTCACATGTGGCTCGTGACTAGGACCAGTAGAATGTTCCAGTACGGTTGCACGTGGAATGGCACGTGCAGAAATGGTTGTTTGATGGGGGTGATAAATAAAAAGGAATTTTAATGAAAAGCTTACGGTATTGTTTACTTTAATGAAAAATTACATTTTTACACTAAAAAATCAATTTTGGTACTATTTACTTTACCTTTTATTTTATCTTTATCAATAAAACACAAAATTTTCAAACATTTTTTATTAATTTTTTTAAATAAAACCAAAAGATGCGAACATCATGGGACATGAAGGATATGGATGAAGCCAAGCGAAAAGGTCTGACAGAGCCATGTCGGTATCTTCAAGATCATGGTTCCCAGTCAAACTGTAATATGCTTCATCCGCTCATCTTTTGCCACGTACTCTATGTCAGTTGGAGTCACGGTCAAATTGTTTGACCAGTGACTGGATATTTTCACACACTTAGCTTTAGATGCATCGACGGTAATGGATTAAACATCAAAATTATATGACACCAAATGTATGACGTCCCGTTAATTGTGTTTGACAGCAATTCATCGCATTTGTGACGTCGAACCATAAAAAACTATGATATTTTATGTCAAATGTACAAATATGAGAGAAAATGAATGAGTATGGGATCACCACAATCCTTAATAAATCTAGTTTAAAGTGTTTCAAGTATCGGTTTACGAATTGTAATGTAAAATTCACATACCTTTCAGTTTGCATGCATATTTTTAAACATAGAGAAGATTCAAAAATTCCAATACTCATTTCAGATAACTAATTAGACTAAAAAAATTATTCTTTGTACTTTTACCCAAATGATAGAGCCAAAAGGAAAGTGTTGACAGGCACCATGTTGATGAATGCACATTGTTCTTGGCATGACTTGATTTCTAGATTCGAGTTGTAACTGTGGTTCCTTGTCATGATTGAAGGTATTTTTTGAATGAGAAATAGAATTGCACATGATGCTGGATGAGACGAATTTTATGTTTGTATTTCATATGGTATGTCTTAGATTTAATTTCTAGTGCTGATGAATTACACGATGATGATCAGAAAGATGCTGAAATGTCTCTGCAAGTCTTAACGGCTCCCGAAAATGTAGATTGCTATGGCAAAACTACCAACTGATCTTTTCTAAAATGATAAAAATTATTTGAGTGGACAACATTGTGCATAAAATTCTCCTTCTAACACCGTCTAATAAATTGCACATGTAAACTTCCATGTGCACAAAGGAGTTGGTCGCATGGGTTGGCCCTCTACCCCATTTGCCATAACTAAATATAGTGTAGCTAACCACCTACCATATAATTAAATTTGTGCATTAACGTAATACTAGATACACATTTTTTTTTTTTTTTTTGTATTAATACATAAAAAGGAAAAAGAATTGACCTTCTTTTATAAAATATAATAAAAGTCGAATTTTTATCGTGAATACATAATGCATCACAGCTAAGATATTTTGATTCTCAGCGTATGAGAAATAAAATTTTGTTGACTGTGACATGATCATGGGATAAGTCAACGGTAAATAATGAGGAGGGAATAATGGGTATACCAATATCTTGTCCCTCTCTCTATATATGGTAAGGTTTCTTATCCTCTACTGCCTTGTAAAGATGCCCTTTCCTAGAGCTTCTCAAGAACCCTCACAATACATATAGCCCAACAATTCAACCAAAAACAAAAGAAGATATATTCCATCCTTCCAACTTAGTAATTTTCATGGCTGCACAACCCTGCTCATCATCACCATCAAGTTCCTCATCATCTTCAAACCTGAGAATCACAGTTGAAAGAAACCCTTCTGAATCTCGCTTATCCCAACTGGACATCAAGTGCTGGCCCAAGTAAGTCTCTCACCTCCCCTCCTCTCACTCTCTCTCACTCAGTAAATGGAGGATTAAGCGAGATTAGCTCTTCAGTGCCCCCGAAGGCACAAGGTTTGCCACTCTCAACTCCCAAGACGAGAGGACCCCTCCACTCTCTCTCTCTCTCTCTTTCTCACTTCCTATAGAGGATTAACCGTGATTAGCTCCTCAGTGCGGTCAAAGGCACAGAGTTTCCATCTCTCTCTCTCTCTCTCTCTACAAAATATAACGTGGTATTTATTTATGTTTTGTTTTTGTTTTTGTTTTTGTTTTGGGATTATGAATTCACAGATGGGGTTGCTCGCCTGGGAAGTACCAGCTGAAGTTTGATGCGGAGGAGACGTGTTATTTGTTGAAGGGAAGAGTGAAGGCGTATTATCCAAAAGGGTCTTCGGAATATGTCGAGTTCGGAGCTGGAGATCTTGTCACCATCCCAAAGGGACTCACCTGCACTTGGGATGTTTCTCTTGCTGTTGATAAACACTACAAATTCGAATCCTCTTCTTAACCATTATTATCATGAATTAATCATGATTATTGTCTTCTTTTGCTCATAAATTTCAGATTTTTTATTTTGTTTTGTTTTTATTTTTTCTAGGGTTTGTGAATTTTTAGAGAGAGATCGATATGTTCGAGTAGTAGTCAAAAGGAAGGAAAATAATTCGTCAATGCATGTCCCATTGGAACCAACCCTCTTTTACGTATTGGCTATCAGCTTTTAAGGCTCCTTTGACTGGTCAAATAGGATTTGTTAAAAAAAATAAAAAAAATCCTCTTTTGTGGGCAATGATTTAGCGACCTGACTGCTCTTCCGGTTTTTATACACTCTTATCACCTCTTATAACATTAACATTTTATATCACTATTGATTTTTGTCTTAGTATCTTTATAAAAAAATTAATATAAAATATTAATGTGATTTAACCGTGATCACATCAAATAAGAAGAAATGAAAATGTATGAGAACTGGAAGGGCAAAGAAGCCGGGTACATGATTTAGACACCCGCCTGTTCTTTTGAGTTGGTATGATCATCAAGTTCAAATCTTCTGCAACCGTTTTTATACTAGCGGAGAAAATTAGACAAATCAAACTTAGAATCTCCGATGCAGCCATGCATGGTTAAAATGCTTTAAAGCATTGTCTTACAAACAAAAGCAATTAGGAAATTGGTTAAGATTCTTATTTGCATGTACGACCACAATTAACAATCTCGACAAACAGTCTGACAACACAATGTATCAACTCACCTAGCAAGAATACATCACCTTAATTCACCAAAAAAAAAAAAAAAAAATTAGAAATGACGGATCAATGCAAATACGTATGATTTCATTAACAACCTGACAACCTAACATCTAGCTAATCAATACAAACCACTAATCTTAGTTTTGATAAAGCATTAGACTTCGGATCCCATTCCTTTTTGTTTGTTTAGCCGGACATGATGCTGTTTTGTGCTACTTTCCACCGTGAGTAGGTCTAGTATAACTAGCTGGTGACGCAAAATAATCATACAGGATTTTTGGGCTTCTTTCTTTGAATTCTAGACATACAAAAGCAGTCCCCATATCAAAATTGCACTTCACAATTTGATACGGTTACAGGAACACAAAATCGGCTTAACGGTCTCTTAATTGATCAAACATGGTACAAGCACGAAACTTCAATCTCGCTTCGCCATCATCCGTAAATGCATAAACTCTGCCATCAGCCTCAATGAAGCTGGTTGTGCCATCTTTCAGGACCCCCGACGCCAGCTTCCGCCGCTGATTAGATCTATGGGTTGAGAGAAGCACGCATAGGGTTAGAACCATGTGGCTCCAACTGCAGAAGATGTTTTATGGATTTGCTTTCCCAATATCTACATTGTCATGGATCCTGCAACCAAAACACCATTCAAACAAAAGGTGTAAGGTGGATGGTTCTCCCAAAACACGGAATGTGCACTGCTCATAAAATCTGGATTGCACCAAGTTTACTAAAAACAATCTCAGTTGGTAAAATGCATTTTGTATGGTCCGTAGAGTACTCAAAGCAAGAATTCAAGTCATGCAGGGAGGCGAAAATGAGATGGTACACGTTCTAGTCTAGTTTTTAGAACTTAGAATCTTCTGAATTACTAGACATGGAAAATATAGAACAAAACCAAATACCAGTACTCGAACCGTAATGTATTACAAGCCAAACAAACGCAAATACATGTCAAATTTTTAAGCCAATTTATACGATCCAAAACCATCTCCATATAAAATGTTGACCAAATCCAGAACTCTAACCAGTTAAATAAATAAATAACCCTCAATCTATCACAATTTATCATACCAGTTATACCTCCCCTCCCCCACCCTCCAAAAATAAACAAAAGAGAACAAAAACCGATAAACACCCAAACCCAAGTTTGCAAATGAATATAAAGATAAGCATGCAAACATTGAAAATATAGGAAAATACATCTACCTGAAGGAAAAAGGCTAGGCTTCTGGAGTTTATAAAAGATGCTCAGCAAGCAATTCTCTGAACCATTTCCCTCAACATCTGAACAGAGAATAGGGATTCAATTCTAGCGAGATTATTATTATTATTATTATTGAGAGAGAGAGAGAGAGAGAGAGAGAGAGAGAGAGAGATGTCAAAGTGAAGTTCCAAAAATAGATTGCATGCAGTGAATAATTGGGTCCAAATAGGTCATTTTGTTTGTTCTTGTTTTCCTTTTTTGGGGTAATAAAGATTCCATATGGTACGACCATACAGCCCATTTGATTTCAGGCTTAAATCATCCTTTTACGCATTTATATCCAAGGTCGTAAATGGATGACCCAACACCCATTTATTCAGAGCAGGTAACTGGTACGGGCATATATATCAACACGACAATTGACAACAAACATTATGTTTTTTTTCAACCAACACATAAACACCAACTTTTATCATGCAACAAATGTAAAGATCTTCAAATGGTAACATTACGACCTGCCAAACCCGGCAACCCAACTAATGACTTTATTGACCCCTTATAATGACACAAGGAAAACTCAACAAGAAGCATGAAAAGAAGAATATGCTACAACCTTGCTGACTATACCGCAACAGCCGTATTTTCCTCTGTAAAGTAATTTGGTCCAACGAAGTTTTCATCTCGAGCACCATGAAACTGGAGTACCCTAAGCTTCCCTTCCTGCAATTCATGAAAATTAGCATCGTAAATGGGCAAACAAAACCTTCCAAAAAAGAACAAAAGGGCAGTAGATTGATCATTGCAGGATTTCTGAAACATCAGAAGCACACCTTGGTCCCATAAACTAGACCTCCACCAGCAAAGGGATGAAAGCAAGCAACATTAACCTCATCCTCTGCACTGGGAAGTACTCTCACAAGTTCCATATCTGAAACTCTGTAAACCTAAATAAAGAAAGAAATGACGGTAATTTAAGAGTCCGACAAAGTAAAACTTTAACAACAGTAGTAAACAACATGCCAACTGAGAGAGTGCTGACATATTAATTAAGCACAAAAATCTATCTAAAACCCTGTAGACCTAAATAAAGAAATATAGGTGGTAACTAAGAGTCCAACAAAGTAAAACTTTGATAATAGTAGTAATGATCACTCAATTTTGAATTTTTATAATGAATCCAGTCCATCACTCTTTGTCATAAACACAGAAAAAGAAGTCCAACCATTGTTCCTTCACAATATCACCAAATAGGCATACTATTACATTCTCTAAAGGAAGACTATTCAACTTTTTATGCTTTCTAACTTATATGTCTAAAAAAATAAAGCATATCTCAACGAATAGTACTTTTTGCTAACTAATACTTTCCCAAAGAACAAACACGAAGCAGAAAGTGAGATAAAACATTTTCTACTCAGTTGCAGGACAGAAGGAAGACTCTGGAAGCTCACCTCAAGAACAGTGTAAATAGGTACAGTTGTATCCCCATCAACGACAATACTTTTAAGAAGAGAACCATGGCGGCGACCATAGGCCAGTAATATGTGCTCAGACGTGGGGGAGAACTGCAGGCACAACATAAAGCACAAAGGCTCAACTCAAAAATATCCTTTCCACATCGAAAGCAAAAGTACCAGTAGTTGCAAATTACACTAAATCAACTATAAGTACCAAAGGAACAGGCACAAATACAGTTTATTGTCAGTGGCAAATGACGAGAGCTAAACAGCTTCCGGAAATAGACATAAGATTAAACAAAAAAGAAAGTCATTATCCAACCTAAACCTGCATAATTTTCAACCATGAATTTCGACCTTATCATACATAGAACAACAGGTCAATGATCCAAGTCATAGTAGAAAATGAGCCTAAGGTAATAAAAGCACGACACAAGGCACCAGAGCATAAATAGAAACAAAAGCAAATAGTAGTCAAATTTTCTTTGAAACTAACTTGGATTGAAGTCAAACAATGTGCCGCTCTAATAGCCCGAGAGACAAGTATCAAACCAAATCTGCACGAGATAATAGAATAACTCATATATAAGATGTTGATAAAAGAATAAAGGAAATAAGAAACAGTTGACAAAAGGATTAGAAATTTACGTGGCCTCCTCAAGTGAATATATGCGAAGCTCATAGATAACTTGGTGAGCTGAGATTGGGTGCCGAGTTGGGGATGTTGGAATTCCAGAATCCTGATGAACTAGACTTTGTAGTCCAGGGTCAGCTTCCGTATGAGGAAGCATGCATGCAACACAGGCAGCTAAAAATCTCCCACAGGGGGAGAAATGAGCCCCCATTTCACTGCAAAAGCACATGCCACACAAAGTTGTAATAAAACATAATTACAAGCTGAGCAAAAAAAATCCTTCAATTGCATCTGATTACAATTGTTTTTAATATAGATGCGAGTGCTAGAAGCTATTGTAAATTTGCAATCAAATACTGAAGCCATGTAGAAGAATGAAGAATATTGTAAAAGGAAAACCGGTAAAAGAAATGAAATAAAGGAATACCAAAGATGTTCACATACCTGCAAAGAACAGCATGAGGAACAATTAAACAACATCTTTCAGCATTCAGCAGAGCAGAAGGATTTTTTATATCATGCGACCATACTCTTAGTTTTACAGTGCATGGTAATTCTGCAGCCGCTGCTGCAGCCATTAATGTATCAATATCAGACTGGATTCGACTAATAATGGGCTGTGCATCATTCTCATCGGGTTGGGTACTTAAGGAAGCACTATCCCCTGATTCTGGTCCAGAGAAGTGGAAGTGCTGATAATAATGCTGCAAGTCAGATCTTCCAGAAAGCCCAGATACATTGGTGCTTCCTGGCAATGCTAAAGAAGCTGCCACATCCGCCACGTTATGAGCAGACAGATGCGACACTAAACTAGAAGAACCCATAGGCTGAGCTAAATTGTTAAGCCCACCACGATTAAGAGGAAGCATTGAGGGAAAATTAGCTTGGCTTTGACCTGTTAACCACCCTTGGAGAAAAGGTTGCTCCCAGAATGCAGGATCTCTATAAGGAAACGTTCTATGAGGTTGCCCAAATTCAGTAAAACCAGGATGACTTGAAGTATTTTCAGGTACTCTATTATTCACAGGATCTAAATTAATCCAGCTTCCATGCTGGCTTCCCCCTACAGCTGGCATCTCATCAGTCTCCATTGCATCTCCTTTGTGGTCACAAGCATCACTTCCATTAAGGAAATAATTATCTGCATTGCCTTCAGCATTGTGATTGGAAACAATTGGAGCTGATGGAAATGTCTCCATTCGAGAAACTGTGGTAGCATCCTGCTCTGCTGCATTTACATCTGTTTGAAACTGCATTGAAGCAGAAGTGACTTGCATGCTATTTGATCCAGCAGGTCTGTTTTCAGGCTGCATTACTCTTCTTGAATCATCTATATATGGCGGCACGAAGACAAAAGGCAAGGACATAAGTGGTAGTTTAGTAGCCAAACTAAGACGTTCACTAGAATCAATGTTTGCCACAAAAACAGCAGGAGATGGACATTGCATGTAGCCGGGAGATGTTGCTTGAGACATTGAGGAATCTGAAGAGTCAAGATCATTGACCTGCATATCAGTTTAATAATGTAACCTATACGATAGCAGGAATGAAGAATCACTTAAATGCCCTCTTGAAAATTACCTCAGCAGTTAAGAGAAACGGAGCAGCTTGGGGGTGAAAATGCACTGCTCGAAGGGAACGCCATGTTTTTAATACCATGTCTGGAGAAGAAGGTTCCCCATTGTATTTCCATATATACAACTGAAACCAGATTTTCAATGTCAGTGTTATCAAAATATATATCCCATTACTAACCATCAATGATTGTATGATATACTAAAGAACCGTAATAAAAAGAATCAATACCTTGTGTCCTGATGCAACAGCTAGGAGTTCCCCTTTGGCATGAAAAGCAATAGATGCAACAGGTCGATCTAGGGAGAGAATCATAAAGGGATATGAACTATGTCAGAATTCTAAGAAAAATGTACAATGTAAGAAAGCCTACTAATTTAGTAAGACACTGAAGTTTCGGAGATTACAGAAATCACGAGAGCCGATACAATCTGATGTGTTTAAATCCCATAAGCGAACTTCATGATCCAAACTTCCACTAGCAATTATTTTTGGATTCAAAGGATGAAACCTAACCTGTAAGAATGCCATTAGTTACTTCCACGTCAAAATAATATTCACAATTTAGTGGTTGGATTTTACCCGTACCAAAAAACACATGCCCCAGAAGCAACTACCTAAACTATTAATTAATTAAATGTTAAACAATTTAGACCAGCTAATTGATATATCATATTTCAAATAAATTGGATAAGACTGTGTAATTTGTATCTGTTTTTTTTCTTTCAGCAGACTTCCATTTACATAGATTTTACTCTTAGCTAAATAGTTCATAGAGAAAGATGCAAATATTAGCAAAAAAAAAATTTGAAGAATAAATAGATCTGCAATTGCACAAGTCATACGTACCACCCAAGGTGTCCTTCTATGGCCGCTCAAAACCTTTACACATCTGCCAGTTTGGCAATCAATTATCTTTACAGTGTGGTCACCACTGAAAGCATGAAAAGATTTCAATTAGAGTCAAGATCAGAAATAAGTATTCAGATCTAAACAAGATTAGAAAACTTACTGTGTAGAAGCAAGTTTTCTTCCATCGGGGCTGAATGCTGCTGCAATGGTTGACCTTGGAGGAGGCACTAAATCACAATACTTGGCTGACAAATGCCGCAGCGACTCTGCTTCAACCCTGAAAGATCAATGAAATACAGATTCAATAAATACAGCATGGCATCTTTGATAACCTAATATAAAAGGTACAAAAGGTCTCACACTAAAACCTGCTTGAAAAAACTTAAAAAAGAGAACTGTTGGTACCATGAGCAGAGGCCACGTTTCACATCTCTGATTGCTTCACCCTTAGGCCCATAGGTGGAACTAGATTTCCTATTAGAAGTTTCTCCCCACCGCCTTGTGGGCACATGTTTTGCTCTAGGAGAAATCTCCCTCCGTGCTATCAAGGCAACCACATTTCTGCCACTGAAAAAAAAAATTAAGAAGTTCACTTATTCAGAAGGACATCATATGAATAAAAACATGTCTCAGGGTGGCATTTGGATATGTGGGTGTGATTTTTACCGCAAACCGTTGAATTAGACTTTACAAAAAGTAATATTATGATGTTGTTAGTTACACATAAATTTCACTATTTAGGAAATCCAAAGTGTTCAAATAGTCAAGGAAAAATTATTATTTCACATCCACCCTCTAAATTGTTGTCATTTTTAACATTGTGTTTTCTTCTCAATTACTGTATCAAAACTCTTTCTTTGTATGATCTTTTAACATTTCATACCAAGCATTCACATTCAGTAGTCCAATCCAAATCTCTCATTTTTCCCTATTCCCGGAATCCAGAGTCATAGCTATATAATCATTGATTTCACTACTAAAGCGTACAAGCGGTCCAAGTCCATCAGTACTTGATCCTCAACACTGAACCGTCCTATGTACTCGAGCCTTATTTCATAATTCGAACAAGCATTTCACACAAACTAAACGAAAAGCTACATTGAACTTTAAATCCATTAAGTGCAACCAATCACTACACGACGTGATGAAATTCATATAAACAAAAACATAAAAAATGAATTCAAAAATCCAACTTAAACTAAACACAATGATTACCGGATTGTAGATTCCTAATTACAATAATATAACTCAAATCCAACACTTGCAAGAAATCAAATTTAGCTGAATTCCAGAATCCGAAACGCATATGGATCGAATTACAGCAAACAAAAAAAAAAAAAACCCTAACGCAGAGGGTTTCGAATTCTGACCTGCAGTGATGATGCTCGGCGGACAGCGATGGAGAAATCGGGGTCTGATCCAACGGTCGCGAAGGTCCAGCCATCGTACGATCGGACTTCATGGGAATTTAGCCGAATTTGCGACTCCAATTTCGGAATTTCAAATTTGAGGAAGAAGAAGAGAACGAGAGTCCGTGCCTCTCTCTTTCCTATGTTGTGCTTGCTACATTGGTTTGCAGTCGTTGCTTTTTTTACCAAAATGCCCCTTTTTTATTCCCTCCCGTGCTTCCCAACCGTCCATCTGAATTTCTCGAGGGTTCGTACGGCGCCACGTCACCGTCAAATTTTTCAAATTTTAAAAATCAAAACGTTATGTCGTTTTTTCTCCCTCTCAGTGCATTGATTAGAGATAAACTTGGGCCATCCAATCACATACTGCCTGGCGTATTAACTTTTCGACACAAAAATAAAAACAAATACTAATGAAGATCGACCTGGAATTTCAAACAAGAAAAATTGCACGGTTGATTTAAATACTGTTACAATAACATCTCGTTGAAGTTATTGTCAAACTAACTTCCAATTGTTTGCTTCGGTCTTCAGAGTGTTATGTTGCTTTCTTACTTTTGGTTTTGGGCTGTGAGAAAAACAGCAAGCTAAAAACAGAAAAAAGGTTTTTTGATCTCAACAATGCCCTATCACTGGGTACATTAAACTTGGTGGGCACGGCATAAGTTCAGTTATTAGTTCGCTTCTTACCACCATATGCGACTAAGATCAAAACTCACAGAATCAACTAGTTCTTAATGTAGCAACATATCACGTAACAAGTCTAGTTTACAATAAAAAATAAAAAGTTTAAAACTCACTTAGGTTTGTCTTTCGCAGCCCTACGGGCATGGTTGTCTCTAAGATTTCAGAGGCCCTGTGTGAAATTTATAAAATGGCCCCTCCTTAAGATAGTTTAAAAAAAAAAAAAAAAAAAATTGGACAATGTATTGATGTTAGAAAGTAATAACTTTAATCAAAACAGTCACTTAGTACTACGGTCTAGTGGTATTTTGACTCGTGAAAGTGAGAAGTCTTAGGTTTGATTCTCGCCAAAGGCAAATTTGAACAACATTATTATGGTTGGCCAATTGTGAGGTTTAGCCCACTCTCTCATCCCCTTCGTGTAGGTTATATCATTTTGTTGAAAGAAAAAAAAATTTAAATCAAAACAAACTTTAGGATTCACCTGCACTTCAATCTTAAACAACCAAGCAAGAAAAAAAAGCTTCAAACACTCTTAACTTCAAAGTTTCACTTGAATACATATCATTATTATATAATAAAATTGAAAAATAAAACATTTTTAGAGTGTTGTTATTGGTACTTTTTGTACGGCGTGCACAATGTGATTTTAAAGAATAAAAGCACTTTTTTTTTTTAATATATAGCATTATTACATGTTTTTTTATTTTTTAGTACATTGATATTTTTACATCAAAGGGAAAGAAAGCCACACAATGGGTAGCCTAATTTGGTATCGAATTTGTCATCCACAAGATTCGAACCTAAGACCTCTCACTTCCAAGTGAAGATGAATACTACCAAACCATAGTACTGAGTGGCTATTACATGTAACCTTTAAATGGCAAAATTTTTTAGAGGCTCCTTCAAATTTAGGACCCTGTGCAATTGCACCTTTCGCTCCCCTCAACACCCCCCTCTGCCTACGGGGCGCCACCTCTTTTTTTTTTTTTTTCCATCTTGTTTGATGGCTCTTCCATCCTCAGTAGCGATGGATTTTCCACCCTATGCGGCTGCAAGGTAAAGAGTATATGTGTTGGTTTGCCCTCATTCTCACCTGGCCTCTTCAGGTCTTTTTCTGAACCTGCCTTATGGTGATTACTGTGGTGATCGTGGTGGTGCTGACTTTTTATAAAATTAAGCAGGATCTCAAAGTGGAAATGTACACCAAAATTTTCAAAAAACATATATATTCACACTCATTAACAAATAGGAGCTTGAAAAGAACAAAAGCCATATATACAGAGGGTGACGGGATGTAAAATAGGAGATGTGATCTTTTCAACTCAGCTTCTGAGGTTGAATCTTATTAGGTCGGCTCGATCCCCATATACGGATGGTATGATCATCACTTGCTGATGCCAGCATCTGCGGTCTCTTATGATTCCAACTCACACACTTCACAGTCATTGAATGCCCACGCAAAACCTCTATCGGCTTAGAATTTCTTCGGTTCCAAATGTATACCTAGACAAGATAATGATTTTCACTTTGTGAGGTTCCATTTGGTTCATTGGATACAAGAATGATTTGTATCTCAGCACATGTATGGGCAAATTCTCTAATTTGGGAAGCATACCTGTGAATTCTCACTACCACTGGCAATAAATGTGCTGTTCAATCCACCGAAGCAGGAGCGTATCACATACTTGCTTTGCTTGTGGCCCGTAAACTTCAGCGGCTTCTCCCATTCCCCAGCGACATCCCACATATGAATCTCCTGGCTATTTAGGTTGACAATAAAGAACTTACTGTCTCCAGAAATTGAAAGGGATGTGATAGAATTGTCTTCAGAAACGACACGTTCTGCATTTGTTCCCACATTTAAAATTCGAATTTCTTTATCAGAGAAAATGCTGATAAGATTTTCCCCATCTGGTGTCACAGCAAGATCTAAAATCTTGGGCATCCTCATCCCTCTCCATGCTTTCAACTCGTTGCCATCACAATCCCACATGTAGATGCCCTTTTCAGGGTCGGAACTGCCACACACAAGTCGCTTTGAGTCGGGAAACCAAGCACATGAGCTGACAATGAAGCCGAGATCCCCAAATGTATGCTTGCATGTACCTGTTTCCACATCCCATAGTTTGACAACTTCAACATTTCCACATGTAAGCAACTTTGAGTCATCGGGGCTCCATGCTAGAAAGGATACCGGTTTCTGGTGACTCCTCAGAGTATGTTGTAATGCCACCCTACTGTCCTCCAGCACCTGGCAAGGTGGTATGCAGTTAAGTGTCATTTTTTGTCATTTTTTGCTATCTAGATTACAAGTTTCTCAACATAAACAACTCTTTAAGCATTCAGTTTATACGAGCATGAAAGTTGGATTTAAAGTAATAATCATATATGTTAAGATCCTATATGGCATTTATATCCGCTTCGCTTTTTAAAAACTATATTAACATCGGCATAATACGTTTGGGAAAAAGTAAATGTTTTCACTGAATTACCAAAATTTAACGATTAAACAGACACCTCTTGGATCATGCATTCGTCCACGTGACACAATATAGTTTTTTCTGTTATATTGACGTAGCTTAAGAATAGATCCTTCCTAAAACAGAGAAACTATTTTTCATTCCTTATCAATTTTAAAGAGAACTAAAAGCAAGATTTTCAATGATCTTGAAAAAAAATCTCCTTCCCATTGTTTTCCTAAATCTGCAATAGTTCTCAAACAAATCCTCTCTTCTTATTTTTCCTTCCATCTGATTTTTGTCGAGAGTATATTATTGTTATATGAGCAGTGTCAAGAACCCTAAACATATACTTCTTATCCACAATTTCTTATGCATGAAGGCCACATTTCCACCAATTAAGTAAAATATTGTGTGGGTTAATATTTAATCATTGAGAATGAAACTTTGGTACCAAAGCAATATTCAATTAGTTGAATAAATAAAATTCTTATAAATTCTAATACAAATCACTCCGGATACAATTCTATGGTACCTTCCATATGATGGCCGCGCAATCACTTGATGAAGAGGCCAAATACTCCCCGTTATTAGAAAATTGTACAAACCAAACTTCATTCTTATGCTCAGTCAAAATCTGCACCAGGTGAAACATGTGTTCATGTGTATGTCAGTCCTCCAATAGAAGAACATCTGAGCAAACAAAAGTAAAACCCTCATAACTTCAATTTCCGAAACATAAACATTATTGCCGGCAAATCACACCTGAACAGTTTCAGTGGGGATCTGATCCCTACCACAGAAATGGTCAGCATAAAGTGAAACCGCATCCGACAAATTGTGATACATACATGAATCAATCTGGGACAAAACAGCAGTTTCAACCAGATGTTCCAACCTGTTCTCGGGCAGTGTGATTGGTGGAGGAAGCAATTTTTCTAATTCTTGCAATAGTTTTTTACGCAACTCACAAACAGCAATATCATCTATTTTGCTCTGCTCCATTTCCTTCGATGACAGGATACTGCGAGCAAGCTTATGAACTTTCCCTCTGTCTACATGTAATGTTGACACCTCTTTCTGCAAAATGGCCAGAGCCAATTTGTCATCCCCACATTTCAAAGACTCCAAAAGACATTGTTTGAATACAAGAAACAAAGCAGCAGCTCTCGTATCATCTGTCAAATCACTGATGGTATTCAGGGTATCAACACAACCATCCCAATTCCCACTTGATATCTGTGATTCCAGCATTTGAAAATCATCGGATTTGCATGAAATGCCAGACTCCAACTCCAAGCATGAAGCAGACTTCTCATAGCCAATTGAAAGCAGACATTGAATAATTATCCTTACAAACTCATGTTTCCTAATTAGGCCTTTTGAGCCAAGCCTAGGCGAACCCTCCATCAGCAATGGAGTTCGGGAAATCCTAAGATGGTTTGATGAACTTCCTAGCCTTTTACAGTCTCCCCATTTCTTCCACCAGCCATGATAATCACAAGAGAAAACAAACACTCTGTCAATTGCCAAATTTCACACCTACCATCTCGAAGTGCCAGTAATGACAAATAGAAGATTACCAAAATAACCAATCCCGAAAAGAATTCGACTTTATATCTCTGAAACCAAATACCCGAACCTATACAAGTCAACTGTATAGCTGGGCACTCTGCGGAAAAGCTCCCTGAAACCCTAAACCTCCAATTTCGTAATCAAACAACAAAAGCAGCAAAACCAACCAAAGTTTAAACAAAAGCGTACCAACTCAACAGAAGCTCTCAAATCCCAATGCCCAAAAGTCCTTATTGAGAAAACACTTATATTCTGCAGAGAAGCTCCCTAGAACCCCAAACCCCCAATTCTGAATTCAAACAGCAAAAGCAGTAAAACAAACCAAATCTCAAACCAAAACGTACCTGTACAACAGAAGAGCTCAATTCTCAATGCCCAAAAGCCCTTTCTGAAAAAGCACTTATACGCCAACTGCAATTACCAGCTTTACCACCATAACCCACAAGCCCAAAAATACGGAAACCAACCCAAAAATGGTATCCAACCGAAATGGCTCAATACCCAAAAACCTTCAAATGGTAGTTAAAACAAACCGCCATGGCTGACGATGCTAGTCGTAAAAATTCAACGTACCCGGAAAAGCTTCGAGCTCGAAGAAGAAGAAAAAACGATAATTCGAAAACCAGTATGAATCTTTGGCGGTGGGAAGATTGGATTGGATTGGATTGGTGGGGAGGAAATGGAAGAAGTAGTAAATTTGTGAGGGTGGATTGGAATTCTGGGAAGCAGTAAAGTGGCAGTCAATGGGAGAGATCGACAGAGTGAACGACTACGAGAAAATATACAGAGAGCAGAGAGATCTATGGAAGTACCTGAAAATCTTGACACGTCTTTCGCCGACGTTTTGAGGAAGAAAACCGGGTCCCAGTTTACCAGTTTATCAGTTTATCGTCTGGTTTTATCCAACGAGATTATAAACGGCACCTCGTTTTTGGTTATATTCAAAATAATTGGCAAAACATAAAATATTAGAAAATATATTTTATATAAAAAAATTAAATACTTAGGTCTCGTTTGACGGGTCATATAGGTATCGTTTGGTATGCAGACGAGACGGGACGGAACGGAATGGGATGGGACAAGACGGGAGATGGAAACAAGGAGGAAGAAGAATGAGACGGAGATGTTATAATTTTGTGTTCCGCATATATGGAACGAGTCGTTCCAGAGGGTGAGGTGGAACAAAAATTCACCCAAAACTCGTCCCGTAGAACAGCTCGTTCCACCCGTTTTAGGCGCACCGAACGTGGGACGGAACGCCTTATCCCACTCTGTTCCGTCCCATTCCACGTACCAAACGGTACCATAAAGAACCGAATATGATTAATAATACGAATCTGATCGTTTGGTGTCCTCTCGTATTAAATAATTAATTTAGTCAGTATGCTTATTTAGTAGGGGTATACCTGCATAATAAACCCTTCCAAAGGAGTCCCTAGGACCATGACTTCTTGGCGCGCGCTTTTTCTCCTTACGGCGGTGGGGATTTGGGGGAAGAAGGTGGAGATTACGGTGAGAGTTACAGAGAGCTTGAGGAAATCGAAATTGGGTTTTGGGGTTTTATCGTTTTCATCATCATTGTCAGCGAGTAAGAGGTGGGAGGAGGAGGTGGAGGAGACGGCGAAGGAAGGGAGGGGTTTTGACGGGGTTTTGGTGAGAGGTATTGGTTTGGGTTATGGGGATAAGGAAGAAGATGAGCCTAGAAGGCAATGGTAGTCCACGGAGCTTTTCTCTCTTTATCTCTCGCTTCTACATTTGATTAAGCGAAGGTTTTGTGGACGAAAAGGTGCGACTTCATTTTTCAGCTTATTCTCTTTAGGGTTTCTGTGAGGGTGTTGGGGGGGTGCAGCAGAGAGATCTGGGGAAGACAAGACTAAAGAGATGATTTCAATTTTTTTTTTAATTTTATTTTAAGTTTGATTAAAATAAAGGAAGATTTTGTTTTTTTCTTTTTTAAATTTGACCCATTTGGTGGTCGTGAATGTGTAATTTTTTTTTCTTTTCCATTAATCATAAATTTTTTTCTTAAAAGTAATAATACTTTAAATTCATTCTATCCGATATAGTATCAAACATAGAATAAACAATACGATTGTTAGTTTGATACTGTACTAAACATCAGATAATTTAGTCAGTACTATTCAATGACTATTTATCCTATCCGACTGAAATAGTCAATACAGTCTGAAACGAGACCTTAATGGTCTAAAAAATGTAATATGTTATGCATGACCTATGATAAAATAAAGCTTAGGGAGTGAGCTTAAACAAATGCCATTTTTGTTATATTTGATATTGTTATCTAATATTAAGCTAGTTATATTTTCTTTTCTTTTGAAAGTGAACACGATAGCTTTATTGAACTTCAAGTGAACTACAATTTTGGAAGAAGACACCTGTTTAATGATAGTACGAGGATCCTCAAACCAAAATAGGAAATTACCAATTGACAAACCAAACTTTGCTAAACGGTGTGTCAAACCAAACTTAGTTATACTTGATATTGTTATGCAATTTTAACTCTTTCGATCACCTTATTAATTTTTCATGAAGTCGATACATTATCTGGACTCGTCCATTACAATCATCACATTACAATGAGCAATCATTAAACTTTAATAGTTCAAAGACAAACAGTTATGACATGTCATACTATCCACATAAAATTTGGATTATACATGTGTGTGTGATCGCCTACAATTTTCATTTAAAAAAAAAGAAAAAGAAAGAGAAGAAGAACATGTACAGTTAGTTACGTGAGACCATATGTTCTACTTCTTCGGAACAACGAATTTGATAATAAATTGTACACTACTGGCACTAGGGGTATGTTTGCTCTGTCGATTCATTATGGAGTGAGTCGGGCGCTCCGGGTATTACAATAACAACATGACAACATAGGGTGCTTGCCAACCAAATTCTCAAAACCACTATGTTGTCGAAATCCTAATGGGAATATGCGATCTCTCACGCATTCATGTAACGCAATTTTTTCAAGTTCTAAGCTGATGTAATAGGGCGCAAGGCCTTATATGTGACTCCATTTGCTATGGTGACTCAGATGGTTAGCAAAGCACTCAAGCTGATTCCTAAGAGCTTATAAATAGGTCACTTAGACTCCTCTCAAATGGTTAGACACTCGAAATCCTCTTAAAATATATAACTTAACATCTGTCACTCATTTCTAACTTTACCGTTATAGTACTTTCACTGAGAATAGCCTCCTGGTGCTTGGTTTCACGATGTTTTTCTTGTCTTTGTCCTTGCAGGTTCACTCTGGCAACATGTGCAAAATTTGGTTTAACAAATTATGTTGCTAAAGTAAACAATGTAAACAATAATCGCAACATTTTCGTAAGTATCAAATCATCTCCAAATAAGATAAGATATGACCATTAATCCATTAACCGAATTATTTGACGGGTGTATAGGCATAAATACAAATTATTTATATGTTTGGTAAGATGTGATGGTTAAGACCATCGACCAATGTAGTTATAATTGGATAAAGTTCAAATTTGAATCTTTTGAAAACATTTGCTCCACCATTTTCGATCAAATCAAAACATAATTGTCTCCAAATAAACAATTAAATGTCAAAGATAAAAACAGAAATCAGGTAAAACGGCCGCGTAACTCGCGTTTCGTTAGGTAGGACCCTTCCCAGACACATCCCACCTACTCGCACAAATTTGCCGCGTGGATCAGACGGCCATCATTCAATTTTACCGAAGCCAGCAGGCAGCAATGTTGCTGGAGCGCTACTCACTCTTCACTCACAGACAGCAGCAATAAAGTCTCCCCCACATCATTCCCACTGTCTCCTCCCTCCTCCCTCCTCCCTCCTCCTTCCTCCTCCAGATCTCTCTCTCTCTCTCTCTCTCTCTCTCTCTCTCTCTCCACTCCCTCTCTCTCTCTCCACCCACATTCTCTCTTTACACCTCCGCCTCTTTCTCTCCATTTAGATCTTTCCACCGCGTTTCATGGATCTACAGTCCCGACTCACTCCCCCAGTCTCCGCCTCCAATTCTCTCTCATAGGGTTTAGTCGCCGCCACCCTTTCCACTGTTTTTTGTAGCTTAAAACCATGCAGTCTCTTGCTCAATGCGACGGAGAACCTGGCCGCCGGGTAATGCCTCGCCGGAAACCTAGAAACCTCAGGCGACTTCTCCACTGACAGTCTCTCGAGCTCCAAGGCGGCTGCTTTTGACGATGTTCTGTGTGAATTTCGACAATGCGAACTCCGATTCTGCTTCTGCTCTTTGTTCTCCTCCTGCTCAGCTTGATTTTCTGCTGCTCAGGTTAATATTCAGCTATTTATACTGTGCATTGTAGTCAAATTGTGCTTCGGTGTTTAGTTTATGTGATATTATTAGCTTAAATCTTCGGTTTTTGCTCGAGAAGTATCGGCGTATGCAGAAAACTGACGTATCTGTTTTTTTGCTATTTTTTGAATTTCATACTATTTCAGGCGATTTTTCTCTAAATACTTACTTGTCTCCTTCCCAATTGCCAAACCAACCGTTGTCTATGAAAGATTTCTCAATCGAACGCGGTAAGGATGCTACTATTTGTGCATAATTCATTTGCCAGGCTCAACCTTAATCAGTACAATTTGTTAGCATAAATATTGTCTGTGATGAGCATCCTTTGAGGTCGACAATCATGTAGTTCTACTTATGCGTGGTCTTGCATATTCACCGGTGTTCTAGTTATACATCTTGTCGTGTCAAATTTACTTCTTTTGACATCTATGCATATATAACATGTGGATGACATGGGTTGCCCTACTATTTGCAGCAAGGTCAATTTTGATGAGTCTTCCATTTGCTTCAAAACGATCCAAAACATGGGTGGTCAAGCCTTCTTTGGGAACCCTTGCACCTGCACCCGCACCTTCCCCAATTCATCATGGTATGTATTATTTTCATACTATCAATACCTAGATGTTCTAGTGTCGCTGACATTATAGTCATATTAACTTATCAATTACAGGTCCTAGCAGTTCTCCTTCACCACGGCGTGGTCATCATCGTCATCGTCATGTGAGAGTGGAACCCCATGCTGTTGCTCCAGCACCATCAAAGGACCCAGGTAATTATATGCGGTTTGCGATTTATCATCAATCACCGTGCAGTCAATGCCAGGTGCCACTCATCTGTTACTGTTGAGAGTTGTCCCACATCGGTGAGGGACAAGGTTTGCTATGTGCTTATATGGTCTTGGGCTACTCCCCATATTACCAATTGGTTTTATGGTGGAACCTCCATTTCATCAGTTACAACATGCAGAAAATCAGTAGATATCAGTTGAAATTGTTGAATTTCCAAAAAAGTTGTTTAATTTCTATTATCAGTGCAATGGGGTGGCCAAGAACTCATAAACTGGCCCAACTAATCTTCTAGTCCCTTGTAAAACCATTCCTCTGCCAAGGCAATAGTTAAATGTTTTAGATGTTCTAATTATTCAATACAACAAAGTAATGGTCTATTTAGTTGCATATTTTGGAAGATCAGTTTGAGGCTTTACCTTGTCTTTTCAAAATTGGAAAGAAAATGTTTGAGGCTTTACCTTCAACTCTGGGTTGGGGGTGCTGCTGGTAACTCTTTAGCACAGCTGCTGCTAAAAAAAGGGACTTGGATTCATGGAAACCAAAATTTTTTGTTTGTTTAACCATGACATGACAAGATTATTTTACCTCGGAATATTGTTTCTCTTAGCAAGTATCTTACCAGTTTATTTATGCGATCATGGTACTTCTGGCAGGTTGTGATCAAATTTGTGTAGAGCCACTTACAGCATCTCCATTTGGTTCACCTTGTGGTTGTGTGTATCCCATGAAAGTCAAACTCTTACTGGACATAGCTCCTTATGCTATTTTTCCAGTAATGAGTGAGCTAGAGATTGAGATTGCTGAAGGCACATATCTGACGCAAAGTCAAGTGAAAATAATGGGTGCAAGTGCTGATAGTCAAAATCAAGGAAGAACAGTGGTGGATATTAACTTGGTTCCACTAGGCGAGAGGTTTGATAATACCACTGCGATACTGACATATGATAGATTTCAGCATAAGAAAGTGCCTCTAAATTTGACCCTTTTTGGAAACTATGAAGTGGTATACATTAGTTATCCAGGTACCGTCCTCAATTCTCATGCTAATGTGTTGGCTTATCATTTCAATGTTGTTTGAGGTTGACACTGAAAGAGTTATAATCAGGGATACCTTCTTCACCACCATATGAGAGTTACAATGGGCATGGTCCAGCTGGAAGTGCTGGAGGTCTCCCTATCACCGCAGAATTTGGCGGCAAGAACCAGAGGATGAATATTAAAACGATTATGATTATTGCTTTGTCTGCATTTGTACTCCTGGTGGTTCTCCTTGGGGCTATCTGGGTCTTTGTGCAATGGAGGAGAGTTGGAAGACCATCTAGCGCTGTCGGTCCTGCATTCACATCTTCTGTTCACAAAAGATCTGGTAAGCATGTGGCTTTAATAAATTTTGAATTCAGTCCCATGGTAAATGACTTTAGACTTAGTGGTTGGATATATGTGTGTAATGCAGCAGGTATCGGGTCTATCTTATCAAGTAGTATTGCAAGCTCCACTTCGGTGTCCCTAATGTCCACCATGGCTACTAGTATTCTCTCTGTCAAAACATTTCCACTAGCTGAGCTTGAGAAAGCAACAAATAAGTTCAGTTCCCAGAGGGTTTTGGGAGAAGGGGGATTTGGACGTGTTTACCATGGAATTATGGAAGATGGGACTGAAGTTGCAGTCAAAGTGCTTACAAGGGATAATCTGAATCAGAATGGAGACCGTGAATTCATTGCAGAAGTTGAGATGCTAAGCCGATTACACCACCGTAATCTTGTGAAGTTGATAGGCATTTGTATTGAGGGGCGGACTCGCAGTTTGGTATATGAGATTGTTCGCAATGGAAGTGTTGAGTCTCACTTGCATGGTATATTTTTCTTGTCAACTTTGATCTCTTTTGGCTTGAAGTTATTTTTCCGAATTAGAACTACCAATCCCACTCTAAATATTTAACCACAGTGCATCAACTAACTAGATGTGTGTTATGATTGTTTTTCAGGCGTTGACAAGGTAAATGGACCTCTTGACTGGGAAGCACGGATGAAGATTGCCCTTGGGGCAGCAAGAGGATTAGCATATCTTCACGAAGATTCTAATCCTCGTGTTATTCACCGAGATTTTAAGGCTAGTAATGTTTTGCTGGAAGCCGATTTCACGCCCAAGGTTTCAGATTTTGGGTTGGCTAGGGAAGCAACGGAGGGAAGTCATCACATCTCTACGAGGGTCATGGGAACTTTTGGGTAATTATAGTTGCTTAAGCTATCACTATTTCAGGATTTCGCAAAGCTTTTTAAAGTGCACTGTTTTTCCAACATTTTCGTTAGGCTAATATGGTGGTGATAAACACACTTAAGTTATATAACAACATAATTCACTAGAAATTTGGAACCTTTAGTGAATAATGATACTTAGGGAACTAATTTAATTAGAGTTTTATATCCTCTGTCCAGATATATGTAAAAATCCTAGTACTATATTTTGGTGACTGATGAAATAATGTTTGCTTTAATAGTCTTCTCTTGACCAAAGTGATGGATTTTGCAGGTATGTTGCCCCAGAATATGCAATGACAGGGCACCTACTTGTCAAGAGCGATGTTTATAGTTATGGCGTTGTGCTGCTGGAACTTCTCTCCGGAAGAAAACCGGTTGACATGTCCCACCCACCGGGACAGGAGAATTTAGTAACATGGGCACGACCATTGCTAACGAGCAGAGAAGGTTTGCAGCAGTTGGTGGATCCTGCCTTGGCTGGGACCTATGACTTTGACGACATGGCTAAAGTGGCAGCCATTGCTTCCATGTGCGTTCACCCTGAGGTGACCCGCAGACCTTTTATGGGTGAAGTTGTGCAGGCTCTAAAGCTGATATACAATGATACCGATGAGACTGGTGGGGACTGTTATAGTCAAAAGGAGTCTTCTGTCCCAGACTCTGACTTTAAAGGTGATCTTGCTCCATCTGATAGCAGTTGGTGGAATGCTGGCGGACTCACTCCCCGGTTAAATTATGGTCAAGCATCTTCGTTCATCACAATGGAGTATAGTTCTGGACCGCTTGAAGATATGGAAAACAGACCGTTTTCAACTTCAAGTCTGGTAGGGGATGAGATATCTTTACCAATCAGACACGGCAACAGGTCTGGGCCATTGAGAACAGTCCGAAGCAAGCCAGCATTCTACAGAGTAAGAGGAAGTAGGAGTGAGCACAGTGGACTGCTTCCCAAGCAGCGCGCTTGGAACAATGGCTTCTGGGTTTGAACAATGTTAATTTAATTTTTTGCATTTTGTACAGCTCAAAAAGGACCTGGATGGCTTTTGAGTAAAGCCGTCGGTGTAGATTAGGGTTGGAAAATCCTGCGGATTCCATGTTTGGAGGGCGGAGAGAGAGAGGAGACGACTATTGGCTTCTAATTTTGGAATTCTTGATTCATTTGCATACAAGTTGGATGGAGAATGTAAGTTCAATGCCCTATTGATATGACAATTTTACCCCCTTGTATCTGTGGCTAGTTTGAAGATGAACCACACCACAAAGTCTTGGTTATTTTTCTTCTATAATTTTTCTTCAATGGCATGTATCATTGATTGATATGAAAAATGAATAGTTGATATCGAAAATATAGGATTCAGCATTTGTGGAACTCAAATCTAACGGTTAAAACACGAAGCATTGAAGCCCGATCATTTTTCGATGGGGGTGTGATATTCACACATTATTTTTTACTTTTTACACACCGTTTTAATTTTCGACTGTCGAATTATAATGAATTGAAGAAGATGGAGGGACAGAAATCAACAAATGTGTGAATAGCACACCTTTTTTTTATATAAAAATAGATAAAACGTGCTATGTTAAATACAAACTTAAATTCGTTCTCAACTACTGAACATCATGTGGTGTTGTCAAGTCGATAGTCTTTTATTAAATAGGCTCAAGTCAACCGTGTTGCATTTTAATTGACTTGAACATCGGTCTAAAACTGAATTCCTTCCTAACTACTGAGGTGTTTTCAAGTCTATAGTCTTTCGTTAACTAGGCTCAAGTCAAAAGCGTGTTACGTGGGCTTCCAGCGTTGAGTTGACTGGACCATCGACGTCGTCCCAGGGCACGAGAATCCTCTACGCACCGGCCAAAGAAAGAATAAAAAGATGATTTCTTTCTACGCAACTCACCAATCTCCTTCTCTCCCCCTCCCTCCCCACCTCGCTCTGCCAGGTCTCCTCCCTCCTCCTCCCCTCTGAGCACTGCACCATTCTCCTCCAACCATTTCATTAACCAACCAAAATTCTACATCTTCTAATCACAAATCTCAAGTTCTAACTAACAAGCTTGACTTTCAGGTACAAAATGTCTCACGATACTCTCCCACCTCTCTCTGAAAGCCGAATCGTCGTAAGTTCGTTTCCATTGATTATTTATCGTAGATTTGACGACCGTTATGCTACTGGTTGCTAAATATAAATACTAAGTGAATGCGCAGCTCGGCGTCGGCGGGGTGGGCGTTGACTTTTTGGCCGCAGTGCCCTCTTATCCTAAGCCGGACGAAAAGATCAGAACCACCAGCTTAAAGGTAACTCTGATTTACCCATTAAATTTACCCCGCTGTTTCTTTAACTTGAATTGACTCAATAGCTTGATTGATGAATCGCACGATGGTGGCTAGGGGAGGTGGGAAGACTCAACTTTTTTCACGTGCCAATGGCGACTCCCTATTGTTGTTAATAAATGTTGTTAAAGCATGAGCTATGCTGTAGCTTGGCTTTGATAAGTGGTGTGTTGGTTGGTTTCTTAGGTTGAAGGAGGTGGGAATACGGGTAATGCCTTAACTTGTACAGCTCGTTTGGGTTTGAATACGAGGGTGATTTCCAAGGTCTTAAATCCTAACCCTTTCAAGTATATCAACTATTTTTTTCGCCGAGCATTGGTGGTTTTATTGTTGTTAAGTTTGTAACGTGTCTTGAGCAATGTGAAATGATAGATTGCAAATGATACGCAAGGCAGGGCTATACTGGAGGTGCTACGGGACGATGGTATTGATACTTCTTTTCTTGTGGTAAGCTTCAAAAGGAAAGCCATGCATGATCTTGGTTTCACCTGGGGTGTTTTTGTCGGGCAATTATGATGTTATTAGTGATGCTTGCTGCTTAAGTTTCATGATCTTGGTTTCACCTGGGGTGTTTTTGAGCTGAACCTGTCTTGTATTCAGGTTTCTGAGGAGGGCAATTCACCATTTACCTACATTATTGTAGACAACGAAACGTAAGGACCTTTTCTCATCCCTCTCTCTCTCCCTCAAACCCACCCCACCCCCCCCCCCCCCCCCCCCCCACACACACACACATGTGCATGCACACACAACCTTGTGGCAATCTGATCTGATGCATATGGACCTAGCCGGTGCTAGGCACTGACCCTTCATTTTGCAATGGAATTTCTCTTTACTGTAGCATCTCAAAGGCTTTCTAGATTATCATTCTCAATTTGAGTAACTGTAAATGTCATTTCCAGGAAAACCCGTACCTGTATTTTTACTCCAGGGTATCCTCTCATGATGCCAGATGACCTTTCCCAATCAAGTTTATCATCTGCCTTGGATGGAGCAAGAATTGTTTATTTTGATGTACGATGGCCTGAAACTGCTTTGGTTGTTGCGCAGGAGGTGACTCTTATCTTCTAGTTTCTAGTATTTGATTCTACATTTTTAGTTTGGTAATTTCCAAATAAATTTGTTATTAACTTAAGAGAATAAGTCAGCATAACTCGATTCTTACAGGCTGCTCGGAAAAATATACCTATATTAATTGATAGTGAACGGAAAAGAGAAGGGTTGGATGATCTTATACCCTTGGCTGATTATGCTGTATGCTCAGCGAAATTTCCACAGGCAAGTCAGCCGTTCTTCCCTGAACTATTATTTCTTGAAGAAACTAGGACTTGTTTTTCCAACTGAGCATATATGTTCAATTTCTTTCCTTGAAACCCCAAAAACTAGGGACAAGTCGTTGGTTTCTTTCTTGTCTGTTGCCAAACAATTTTCAGCCGAGAAAGCCAGTAAAGGAACCTTTTCTCCGGATAATAAGAGGTTTTATAGAGAACTAATCTTTTTATACCATATTATTTTTTAGTCTTAAGCATCTTGTGGATGTATGTATGGTAATGTGTGGCTCTGATTTTGACAATTAACTTAGAACACGTTCAGAAACATTTTTTTGCTATTCACTTTTTCTTCAATCTCTTGGTCTGCATTTAAAAAAAAATTCGTACTGGATTTCCTTTACATGCATTGTATATCTTCATCATGTTACTTAAGCTTAACGCCGATAGATCATTTGTGTGGGCAGGCATGGACAGAAGCAGCATCTGTTCCTAGTGCTCTTGTTTCGATGCTTTTGAAATTGCCAAAGCTCAAATTCGCAATTGTGACATTGGGAGAAGATGGATGCATCATGCTTGAGAGAAGTAAGGATGGTAAGTATGTATCCAGGGTTTATTGAGGAGGAAAGCACTAAAAAAACATAAGAGTACGGAATTGTGGCTTAGACTGTAGTAAAGATAGTTTGTTTCATCTGATTTGAAACATTTACAGGTTTTCATTGAAATTCTGTATCTGGCAGAGATTCCAGACGTAGAAGAAATGGATGTCGACAGCTTATTGGGATCGCTGAAGCAGAGAAAGAATGATAGCACGGCTATCCCAACATCTGTTTCATCGGTTAGGAACTTGAACTTCAAAAAAGACTCATTTCCGTTTCCCATTATAACAAATCAGCATGGACCTGCTGTAGAGTCCATTTTAAATTAGGATCTATTAATTTGCAAGTTTGTCCATTTTAATCGTTTTAGCCGGTGACAAAATTGAGAGCCAACGGAATAGGGACTGTTTGTGGGAGGTTGTTGGTGGGAACAGCTGAGAAAGTACCTCCGGAAGAACTCTTAGATACAACAGGTGCTGGAGATAGTTTTGTTGGAGCAGTTCTCTATGGTATGTTTACTCCCTCTCTCTCTCACACCCGCCCACGAACACACACGTTCTTGTTTGATTTCATGAAGTTGAATTTACTTCTTCTTGCAAATTCTTCTCACCATCCGTTGCCAGAATCTGTTAGTTTATCTATCGGAAGATGTCATCTCTACTGTGTCATGTAATCTTTTCACTAATGGGATTGTTGCTTTATTGTAGCTATTTGCACCAACATGCCACCGGAGAAAATGCTGCCGTTTGCTGCTCAAGTGGTAAGTAGGGGCAGTGTTTTGAAGTGGTAGGATGTTGCAACATACTTCCGTTTGTGACCTTTTCTTTTTTCTCTGGTGTGTTTCAAATTGCAGGCTGCTATCTGCTGTAGGGCTTTAGGAGCTCGAGCTGGCCTTCCTCACCGCACAGATGCACGTCTGGCATCATTTTTAGCTCAAGATTTCCCAGGAAGTCCTACATGATTGGAAAAGTGAAATTTAGGCTAGAACATGTGCTATTTCCTCTCATGATTTGAAATTTTGTAAACTATTCTTGTGAAGTTTACGTATTCTCATTAAATAACAATGTAAGCTGTTACAATGTTTTATACAAGAACCATCCATATCAGCACAGGAGTCCTAAGATAACTATGATACATTTGAATTTCAAACATACAGCAGAAGGATAAACAATAAAATAACAACTAATTATCCTTATCAACACTAGCAGAAAGCACACACTTTGCGTGTGTGAATAATTTTTCTTAATAAGTGCATTTTTTTTTTAATATTACATAATTACTGTTTTGTCCTTCTTTTGTAAATATTGTGCATCAAAAGTAAGGGTAAAATTGGAAAAATATGATTGTCATTATCTAAAAAAAAAGGGTAAATAGGAAAAATTAAGATATGATTGTCATTTTGTCAAAAGGTACAAAATTACTATTTTGCTCTCTTTTTGTCAATATTGTGGATCAAAAATGAGGGCAAAATAGGAAACAAAGAGGAAAAAGTTGACAATGAAGGTTTTCTTAATAATAGTATAGATTCTCCTCCAAACTTGACTCCGATGAGGAGACTAAGTTTGAACATAGCAGCCGGAAGCACGACTTGCTGAGTCCCTTCGTGAAAACATCAGCCAGCTGAGAAATAGAAGGTAAGAACTGAACCTTGTGACTGCCAGTCGCAACCCGCTTCCGAACAAAATGAAAATCCAAAGAAATATGTTTGGTGCGAGCATGACACACAGGATTGACAGCCATGTAAGTGGCACTCAAATTATCACAATGCATCAAAACTGGTTTGGAAACTGGAACCCGAAGCTCATGCAGCAAACTTAAAATCCATATTGTATCAACACATGTAAAGGTACGAGCTCGATATTCAACCTCGGCACTTGAGCGGGAGACCGTTCATTGTTTCTTGGCACACCAGGAGATCAAATTATTCCCCAAAAATATACAGAAGCCGGTGGTGGAACAGTGAGTGTCAGGGCACCCTGCCCAATCCGCATAAGAGTATGCAACAAGGTGAAAGGGTTGTGGAGATGGAGACAAGTGAATACCCATACCTAGAGAACCTTTGAGATATCGCAAAATACATTTCACAGCATCCATATGCTCAGAAGTGGGACAGCCCATAAACTGAGAGACTTTCTGAATGGCAAAGGCAATGTCCGGCCGAGTTAACGTCAGGTATTGAAGGCCACCAACAAGCTGACGGTCACTAGTGGCATCAGGTAATGGGGTTCCAGAGTGTGTCGAGAGTTGGGTTTTGGCCGCAATAGAAGTGATGCATGGTTTACATTCAAGCATGCCGCTGCGTTTTAATAGTTCAAGAGTGTACTTGGTCTGTGTCAATCAAATTCCCGCATGTAAGTAGGATACCTCAACACCCAAAAAATAATGCAACTTGCCCAAATCTTTGAGTTCAAATTCAAGTCCCAATGTGTGAATGAAAGACTGAATTAAAGGAGGAGAATTACCAGTCAAAACAATATCGTCCACGTGTAGTAGAAAGATGAGAATCACTAAACCTTTATGAAAATTGAATATTGAGTTATCAGCACGACTCTGAACCAAGCACGTGGGGCTTGCTTGAGCCCATAAATGGCTTTATTTAATATACACACAAAGTTAGGACGACCAGGATCAATAAATCCTGTAGGCTGCGACATGTACACTTCCACCATGAGGGAACCATGAAGAAACGCATCTTTGACGTCTAGTTAATGAAGAGGCCACCCAAAAGAAATGGCAAGACTTAAGACTGTCCAAATTGTAGTTGGTTTGACAACGGGGCTGAAGGTCTCGTAAAAATCAATCCCTGGTTGCTGATGAAACCCCTTGACAACAAGGATCGCCTTATACTGTTCAATTGATCCATCGGATTTATGCTTTAACTTGAAAACCCATTTACACCCCACGGTATTGATGTTAGGAATAGGATGGACTAAAGTCCAGGTTCCTTGCTTGAGAAGAGTGTTAAACTCATCTACCATGGCCTGCCGCAAATGTGAAGATCAAGAAGCTTGGCAGAAACATGTCGACTCTTGATCATTGTCAACTATAGCGGTCAATGCAGCAGGAATGGGATGCGGGAGGCAAAAAATGAGCGCACCTTGGGCTTAAAAATTCTGGATTTGGATCGAGTTTGTGGACTACGGTGAGGAGACGGTGCATGAAGAGGCACCGCTTCAACATGTGCAGGAGAAAGTTGCGGCAGAACAGCAGCATCTGCAGCTGCAGACTGAGCAGCATCATGAACTGCAAGTTGAGTCATGTCGGGCTGTGAGGCAGCAAGCTGAGAGGTGTCGGTTGGTGAGGCACCGACATAAGGAACCATAGCTTCAATGGGAACAGCAGGAGGGACGGTGACATGAGGAACAAACACCAATTCAGATTCCCTAGCCTTGGAAGAAACACTAAGCTGCTCATAGGGAAACATGTTCTCATAAAAAATAACATGCCAAGAAATGTAAACTCGGCCAGTGAGTGGGTGTAAGCAGCAATATCCTTTGTACTGAGCACTGTATCCAATAAAAACACAAGACAATGATCTAGGTTGCAACTTGTTAGTTACGTAGTCACCAAGAAACGGAAAGCAAGCGCAAGCAAAAACACGAAGTGCCAAATAATCAGGAGTACGTCCAAATAAACATTGATAAGGCGACTTCTAGTTAAGTACAAAGGTGGGCAATCGATTCATTATATAGACACCAGTAGTGAGAGCCTCAGCCCAAAGATTGTGGGGAAGTTAGGCAGTGAGTAATAAAGTGTGACCAATCTTAGAAATATGACGATGCTTGCATTCTACAAGACCGTTCTGTTGAGGTGTATGTGGACATGAAAATCGAAGGTGAATCTTTTTTTGTGCACACAATTGTTGAAAAGACGAATTATTAAACTTTTTACCCCTATCACTTTGGAATTGTTTAATAGTTGTAGAAAATTGGGTTTGGACAAAGTTCACAAAATTACTAAAATGAGTAAATGACACCCCCCGATCTTGATATTCTCCGAGCACCAGGATAGGCACATGATGGCCGACACCCGAGGGTAAAGAAAGTCATTTATTGAATGCAAATGCTAAGAACAAGAAATAAATAAGACTTATAAATTTAAATATAATGAATATGCATTTAAGGAACGTGTTCAGAGCATACAACTAACTAGAACACTAAAAGAATTAATATAAAAATTGAATGAACAAGGAATGGGTCATACACCGAGATGACTCAAAGATGCCGATGCAGAAGTGTCTTGACGCTAGGATTGTATCCCTCGATTCTAAAACAAACATGAGTGGATCAAGTTGATATATATATATATATATATATATAAAATAAAATAGTTATCAACTTACTAGCCCCCAAAGTTTTATGAAAACATCAATAGCATAATATGTAGTAGGTTTTCCAAAAACCCTAGCATGCCATAAAACCTTTCATAAAACGTATATCATATATAGTATGCTAACTAGTGGTATCATAATCGACCCGAAGGCCAATATAATAATCTTCAATTGACCCGAATGCCCCTACATCACCCGACCCGAAGGCCCTTACATCACCTAACCCAAAGGTCAATATAATATCATTGCCCAGAGGCAGAACAGTGACCACTAAATATGCACAAAATATTGAATATAGTCTTTCCAAACATAGGTACATATATCTCAAAAACATCTTCATAGAATAAAGTCATCAATCATCTATACTATAAAGAAGCGTGTAAAAACATGTTCTAAACAGTATATCGTCATCCATCAGATATCCTAGAAAGAACATGGATTCGATAGAAAATATGGTATTCTAAAATATTCTAAGTAAGCATAATATCTCATGAAACGTAATCATAAAATCATGTTTTTCATGTATGCATTTCTAATATTAAAACATGCATTTTTAAAAGGGGTCCAGTTACAGATATTTTACTGCTGAAGAGCCACGCAAACTAGCGAAGCCAGAAACACCACAATAAATGCACCTAAGCACATAAAAAGTCCAATTAATAATACTCTGTTAAGAAATCATGCACACACAAACCAAAAAAATAAAATAAAACTCTGTTCAAATGATTGAATTTGAAAAAACGGACGTTAGAAACGGGTCCATGACATTGAAATTAGCATAGGAGGGTCCCAGATGAATACCCGAAACAGTCAATGAAAAGTCAACGTTGACCATTGACCGGTCAAAGTCCAAGTCCATGCTGACTGTTGACTGAGTCAACGATCAGACCAGGTCAAAGTCAATGGGTCCAAGTCAAAGGTATTGGGTTGGATCGGGTTGGGCCTAAAGGGTTTAAGTCCAATGGGGTTTAGGGTTTAAAGGGTATTAGGCTTTAAAGCCCGACTCAAGGGTTAATTGGGTTTGGGCCTAAGGGTTAGTTCGATTTTGGGGTTTTCTGGGCTTTGGGCTTTGGGTTTATGGGCTAGGTAACTCGGCCCAAAGGCCTGGGTTGAAGGTGGTTTTCAGGCCACACTTTTGCTGGTTTCTGGGCTACTTTCAAACACACATAACTTCTTCGTTACTCTACCAAATCAAGTGATTCAAAAACCAAAATTGTAGTACTCGACGAGATGAAGAGATTTTCACCTTGCATGATGGCTAACTCATCGTGGTTTGGCCGAAAAACGCCTTGAAAGGGGCGGTGCTTGTCGAAAAATTTGGAAAAGCTACTTTGATATGTGATTTACTCACATACACAACTTAAAACAAGCTTTGATCTACTCCTAAAACACAACCAAAAAGTTTCTAGAAGCTTACCAATGTCGGAAAATTACGAAAACTTCGGGGAAGACGATGAATAGTGAAAACATTGCTAGAGGGTTCCTTGGCTTGTCACGGAGTTTTCAAAGCTTCTCTTTGCAAGTGGTGGTGATTTGGGGTTCTTGTTTGTGTGTGTGATTCAGAGAAGGGAGAGGGAGGGCACGAAAAAAATGGGGGAGAGAGCTAGAGACAAAGAGAGAAGGTGAGGGAGAGAAAGAGAGTTGATAGTTTTAGGAAGGGAGAAATAGGGGTCACGGGTCCAAGAAGAAGAGGAAGAAGGGGGGCCGGGTAGGAGGAAACCAAAAAGGAAAAAGGGACCCACGTGGCACACACATTAAGATCCAAAAATAATTTTTAAAATCGGGGGTGGGGTTTTATAGTAAAGACTTCATATTTATACCGCATGGGAAAATGCATGAAAAACGCGTATAATCATCCATAAATAAAACATAATAACGAAACCTAGAAACATAAGCTATAGGAGACATCCAAATAGCTGAATGAATTAAATCAAATGGAGAATTAGAATAGTGTTCAGACAAATTGAACGACAAGCGATGAGACTTCGCCAACGCACAATTATTACAAAATTCCTTATTTGAAACTGAAAAATTGGACCCTAACAAATGCCCAGAAGCTAAAACACTAACTACTTCACAAGATGGATGCCCGAGATGACGATGCCATAAGGAGGGTAACGCAAAAACAGACACAAAAGCTTGCTTTGAAGTAGAATTCCTAGAAGCATAACCAAGTTTAATTGGGTAGAGTCCCTCCTCACATGGGCCCTGAAAAAGAACAACTCCCGTTTTCAAATCACGAATAACAAATCCCCAAGGAAAGAATGATAAACTAAATATATCGAGTTCCTTGTAATGGACAGTGTCTTCGGTCTACGTGAATTTTAGGCATTGTCTTGTCTGTATTTGCAGCGTTCTTCCCTGTCTATATTATCTTCTCATTCGCCTGTAATTTGACTTGGTGCTAACTGACAACAAAGAGACATTCGGGAGGGACCAGTCGACATGCGCGCCGGCGACTGACTATTTCTCTGCTGCTTCTACCTTTTGCGTTCTTTGGAATTCTCTGAGACCTCGTCCTGCTTGATATCCCCACAGTGCTCATCTGCAAGGCTCGTCCAAGGGGGAAAAACTCTCAAGACAGCTGTATCATCGTCATCTGCTTCGAATTTGATTATTTCCTTTCCCTTTCCTTCAGTCCAGAAAAAAAAAAACTTCCAGCCCTTGTATCTCCATGAAATCGCAGCATCGGTGTTCCACCATCCTGACATATCCCGGGTTACTTGACTGGAAAGTTTCACTGGATTAGTGGTCGATCTAAACTCAGATTAGTTTCACTAAGTTGTTCTGTTATACTTGAAGAAACTAATTATCTAAAATTAATGAGAAATTAACCATCAAAGTACGACGGTCTCATGAATTTCATCAGGTTGAATCCAATGTCTAGAACTCGGAATTAGATAAGGCCAATCAAGAAAAGCTAATAAATACAAATCAGATCAGATGGAAAGGAGCTTCCATGATACACGAATTTGCTTCCCTTCTGCTACAGAAGAGGCAGTAACACATCCCCTACGCGGCTACACATAACCGATAAACGACCAAAAAGGAAAGACAGCACCCTAACTCCTACCTACGAAACACAAAAGGCCCTTCCCTTTCCACCACACTGTCCAAAAGTCCTAAATCTGATGAATCATGGAGCGAATCCAACGGCCTACAGCAAGCTATCAGCCCTGGTGGGCAGCCTCCTGAAGAAATTCAAAGGCTGAGAAGGCAGCTTGCTCCTGAACCTTGGCGGTCGCAGCACATACAATCCCAGCAGAACCACCACAGCCTTAATTGGCACTGCATACAACACAAAAGTGGCAATCAAGCAGAAGATCACAAACAAGAATGTGGCTCTCGGGTCTCTCCAGCTCAGGAGTGCTTGGAATCGCTCGCCTTGCGTAGCCATGTCACCAACAACAGTTTGAATCCTCCCCGCCACGCTCCTTAGCCGGTCATACCTCATTCGAACAACCTCAGCGCTCCGGCTTGTTGGAAAAGAATCGAATTCCTCATCCAATTCATCAGCATAGACGCTCTCAGCGTGGGAAAGGCGGGTGTCCATGTGGGGTGGTTGGCGCGGTCTAGACCTATAACGCCAAAGTCCCACTAAGGCCATGTAGAGCAAAATCATTGGGATGATGAGGTCTGGATATGCAACCAGCAAGAGGAAAAGTGCAACAACTAAAGCTGAGATAACAGGGCGGTTCCAACTACGGATCAACTCCACCCATCTTCCCATAGCAACAAGTCCTGAAACAACATTCATTAGTCGAAAGAAGTTGGCTTTGCTCCTCCTCATGCTCCACATATGGGAATCGTGATCAAGCATGTATTCAACCACCTCTCTGCCCAATGGCGGCTCTGCCCGGCTAAGCCTAGAGGCCACCACATTCATCGCTTGGTACCTCAAAGTCTCCAACTGATTCACACTCAAAGGGTTCACAAAATGCATCTTTGGAAGCAGCGGCATTGTGTACATGTGCAGCATGTTAGCCATATTGGCACATGAAAACCGAATAGCCAGATGAAGCTCACCCATTTTCTTGACCCCTGAAGTGTGCAGCATCATGAGGGGATACGAATGAGTATAAACTCGATCAGATTCCAGCGTAGACAAGCGAATTCTAACCTTCCCAATACGCAAATCACGAGCTCCTGGATTGTTAGCCAAGTTCTTGTCAATCCGGGAGTTATCAAACACCCCAATTGTGACAACTGTGCAGGGATCATACACCTCCCAAGTGTACTGCTCGTTCCATTTCGGGGACAAGCTTTCTACAACGGTGCGAGTTCGAACCCATTTTTGGCCATACTTTGCAACACAATAGGCATCACTACACCCGCCTTTGCCTTCTTTTATTTTCATTGGCATAAGCCCTGTTGCGCCCAAAATCCCCATCTCAAGCACACCAATGTGAGACTTCCACAGCCGCTTGTCAGTCGGCTTAAGATCACTGCTGTACATTGTGGCCTCATCTAGCACATGATAACCACCATCAAGTGAAACCCGGAGATGGATTCTAGAACCAAACCTTGTCATCATTTTGGACTCTGCTGCTCCTCCATTGCCGAAATGGTGGTTGTCAAGGTTGAACCATCTTGAAACGACGGGCTTTTCATCTGTTCGCCTTTCTATTGCTTGCACCGGAAGTAGCACTCTTCCCACCACCTCATCACGCCCCGGCCCAACCCTATCCTCAATAGCAACCAATAAGTAGTCCTCTATTGGCTCAGCCACCACAAACATCATCTCCTCATTCCAAAAAGGATTAGAGAGGCTCCTCACACTACTAGGCTGTGCAATTCTAGTCCTCAAAACCTGGTTTCCCACCTGAACTTTCGTGGAAAGCTCGGGAAACCTCATCATTGCAGACCCCTTCTCGCCAGGGACAATGTCTTGAGCTTCGATAACCGACACTCTCAGATACCACAGCCTTGGGGACAAATAAACCTTGGACTTAATCGAACAAAGCCCGTCAAAATTCACATTGGCAGCCTTCGAATGCCAAGACTCAGCAAATGCCTCATCAGCCTGAGTCCCAAACCAAATTGAAAGCATAACCTCCCCTGCTTTCGACTTGTCCCCCTTCTTATCCTCCATTCTGTACCACTGCGGAGCCAACTGACTATCCGGAGGAACCCTCCTCGGAACCTCATTCAAATCAAACCAAACACGGCCCAAGAAATCATCTTTGTTGCTCTCTTTCACAAAAATCTCCACCATTGATGACTGTATGCTTTCCTTCGAAAAGGCGAAAACCTGACCCCACTCAACATTGTTCAAACCAACCCTCTTTGTAACCCCTCTGTAGTTCCCTAACTTCACTTCCGCCACCAAATCCCCGCCGCCAAACAACGAGACATCTTTCGCTTTCACAACCCTCACATACAGATACTGCATTTGCTCAACAAGGTCATAAGTAGAGCTAGTTTTGTCCTTCTTCATAGACTCACCACCGAGCTGCGGCCGAGTCTCCTTAAGCGAAAACTCGCCCAACCCATTTGAGTACACACTCCCACCCCCACCTCCGCCAGTCCCTCTGTCGCCGGCGGCGGATACACCAATCCCAGGCCCTGGATTAATCAAAACAGGCTTATTTATCATCATCATCTCACCTGCATTTTGCTGCTCCTGATTCTTGAACCCGCCGTTGTGGTTCTGGTTCTGCTGAGTCGGCTTCGATCCCTGCACCAGCTGCTGATTCACCGCCATAGCCGAGTTCCCCCCCTGAAGCTTGTTCTTCTTCTTCGAAAACCCGGAACCCGACACAGTAGACGCAGAAACAGAGGAGGAGGAGACTGTTCCATTTCCATTACCCCCAGATTCCTTGACCTCCTCCCTAGTCGAAAGGTAGAGCTTCAAGCTGATTTCTCCTCTGATGTGAGAAAATAAGCTCCTTTTGTCGAGAGTGAAAAGCTGGGGGACCTCTTCGCCTTCTTTCTGAATGTTGGAGCCCGAAACGCGGACTTTTCCAAGGAAATTCCGGCTGCTGCTGGACCGCCGCTCGTTGAAAACGTTCGCTTCGATGGTTCTGTAGGGAAGGTCGGCGGCGTCTTTGACGTGGAAGACGAGCTTTTCGTTCCAGATAGGGTTGAGGTCTTTGTATTTGACTTGGGTTCGGAGGCGCTGGTTCTCGAACTCGATTTCTACGAAGGGGGAGGAGCAGCCTTCGCCGTCTTTCGGCATGAGGTTGTGCGCCGCCACCACCTCCACCACCAGCTTTTCTTTGGCGGTGGTGCTCACGGTCATGGCTCCGGTTGTTTGATGAAGAACAAGAAAGCAACTTGAAACTTGAGAGAGAGAGAGAGAGAGAGAGAGAGAGAGAGAGAGGGAACAATGGGACAATGCAGAGGCAAACGAGAGAAGAAGATGTTGAACAGATAGGACAAAGAAATGGGGAGAGAGAGAGAGGGAGGGGGGGAACAAATGGATAGGCTCAAGAAAGCTCAAAAATACTGTGAATTCAGACGAGCGTGCAGCAGAGTTATTCCGCTGAGGAGAGAGAGAGAGAGAGAGAGAGAGTCTGCCAAAGTGTACAGAGATATGGACTGAGTTGGTAAGCAAAAAAAACAGTCAAATTTCCAGCGTCTCACTTGGGGCGCGTTTAGTGTACGCACCAGTGGGCAAGACCTCAAAGGAGGGAAACGGTTGGACAGATTGGATATAGTGGGACCCAACTGCATTCTTTAACGTTAACCTACCATGCAAACCAGATTACCATTTCTGTAGCCCCGAATTAATTAGTGGGGTCAACGGACTTATCATGTTGTTCGGGTCGGGTAAAGAATGTGATTTGCATCCACAACTCACAACTACAAAAGTAACAAATTAAACAAATTTTTGGTCCTTGTGATTACCGTGTTCAAAGAAAAAGTAAATAGCACTCTTTGTTTGGCTAAAGAATTAAATATTTGTTGTTGGTTCCCATTAATTTAATTAAATATCAATGTTCAAAAATGCTTAACAACTACTGCGATTATTTCTTTTCATTTAAAAAATAAGAAAGGACAGCTAGATATACCTAGACGTTCACCTAGCTTGTCTAAGCATTAAGCCCTTGTCCACCCCCCCTAATGCCTAGAACCTTTGTAGAATCTTGGGTAAAACGTCAAAATAAATTGTCCAAAGTAACTAGGATCTTCATGTTCATAACTAATTTGGGTAATTACTTAATTAGTACAAAGTTCTTCTTAGAGTCGGTGATCATACAGTTTTGTTACTATCTACAATACATTGATAATTTTTAAAACGTTTGATCATATATAATTTATTGCCTAAACGTACGTTTTCTAAGTTTGAGAACTAAGCTTAACTTGCATAAAGTCATATTTGTGATGAGTCGTAGCCCGTTGACACTGATAGCTTGCATTTTCTTCGATAAACACAGGTTAAAAAGTAGTATAATTTGACATGAATTATGCTAGGTAGATCAACTTTTTAGATCAACTTCATAAACTATATGATGTATCACCGACTTACCAATAAGAAACAAGCACGTTAATTATCACTTGAGTAATAACCAATCATCAACAACCACTCATATAGCTTACAAAAATTGAAATAAATGGTTGGTCTTCCTAGCATTACCAACCCACCACCCGAGTTTTTATTCGAAATAGGAAGCAAAATGTTTGATGAAAAGTTAAGCTGAAAAATAGGATGTTTAATAAGCACCTCATTGAGGGAAAAGATATTTTAGTATATTTGGAATATGTACACCATATCATAATACAAGTAGATAAATATTAAATAACATATCATATTTTTACTACTAGTGTGACACTTAGTGTACAAGCTTATATTTCCAATGAATGGAAAAATCTATCCATTGAAGAAGTAGAACATTGAGAAATGCTAAGGAGCCTAAGACCATCTCCAATCCATGGGATAAAGCTTAAAATATAAGCTTTAAAACCCCCCAAAACCATCTCCAACCATTGGGCTAAAATAAGCTATGGGAAGAAAATATATCTTTGTGCTAGATTTAAACCTGGCTTAAATTATTTTGAATCCACCAAACTGTTATATTTCAAATCTTATTTTGTTTTTTACTTATAATCTAACGGCTATGATCAAATGAGATCAAATCTAAGGGTTAAAAAAAAAGATTTGACGGCCCAAAATTAAATCTAATGTTTAAAATAATTTAAGAAAATTATTAAGTCAAATTTAACTTAAACTTTATAAATACCTATGTATTTGTATGATTTTTAATTACTTATCAGAATTTAAATATTTTTAGATCAAAATGTTAATAAAACTAAATAAGAATAATGTACATAAATTTAATTTTCAAAAAAGTTACTGAAAAAAAAAGGCTGAAAATCATTATTTAATAATCTCGGACTAAAATTTTTGGGTTATGACTTAAAATTTTTTTACTTAAATTTTTAAACTTTATCCCTCAGGGTTGGAGATGGTCTTAGAAGTGAGATAGCATCATAGCAAAGAGTTCATATGAATCACACTTTAATTAAGAGAGTCTCCTTACCTTTTCTCTAATTTAATATTAAACTTGTCATATATAAGAGTCAAACCTAATATTTCTTACTATCCCAATTTTGAAACAAAATAAAATACCCATTTTTGTGAAAGATAAATGTTAAGGAGACTTTCTTAAAAGTAGAATTCTCTATAAATACTCTGTCACCTCATAGTTTAATACTAATTTATGTGCCTAGCCATTTAGTACTACGGTCTAGTGATATTTCTCTTCACTTGTAAGTGAGAGGTCTTAGGTTCGATTCTCGCCAAAGGCGAATTTGAACCACATTATTACTAGCTCATTGTGAGGCTGAACCCACCCACTCCCCTTTAGTATAGATGATATTGTTTGTTCAAAAGAAAAAAAAAATCTTGTGCCAATATTATAAAATCTTATGCAAAAAACAAGGTTCTAAAAATCCCTGTAGGGGCCTAGTGCCTAGACAGATTTATGTAAATTTATTATATATCTTATAAATAAATGCCTATTTACACCTAAAAAAAAATATACTTGTATGGATAATAAAATAATGATAAAATGCAAAAATAGAAGTAGAAGAATACACAAATGATATATATCCAAAAAATTCAATATTTAAAAAATAGTAAGCATATAATCATAATGAGGAGGATTTGGATGATAGACTAAATTCTTCTTGTTCATGAATCATGATCCTTGCATTAGATTGGACATAGGCTAAATTATTTAACCTTGTTATATCTAGTTTATTTCTTTTCTTTTTATATATCCCCTCAAAAGTGCTCAAATTCGTTTCACTATTGGATGAACTTGTAGTAAATCCATCATTTACAAATTAGGTACACCATTTTCATAAGTACACCACCATGAAACCTAAAAAGAAAAAAAACACACAATTAATAAAAAATATATAAAAAAAAATTGCATAGGACCACCTAGGGTTGCCTAGCTCCAGACTGATTTTTCGAAACCATTTGCCCAAAATCAAGACAGGCCTTCACCGCCTAACGCCTAAGCGGCGACCTAAACGGCCGCATAGGCCGAATTTTAGAACACTAACAAAAAAAATATAAAATTGTAGAGAATCCTTAAAAACTTCATTTCAAAAAAATTCTTCTTCACATTTCTCATGTTGAAAAAGATGAAGTCGTCATATGAAAATGGGTATAGGGTTTATCAATTGGCACACGCGTGCCAGAATCCGCAGAGAGAATCCAACAGTACCAAAACATTTTAAAATATCTCGAAGTCCGAGGTTCTTTTTTGAAGCGAACTACTTTCTTGTCTTTTCATTTTCTCCCCAAAACAATTTATTTTATTATATTTTTTATTATTCTTTCCTGTTTTGGAGAATGTACGGTCGTCGCAACTTCGAGGCGCGTGTTACAAGGTCCCCGTTATACTGTTACGCTGTACGCAACTTGGCTGGGGTCCCAACACTCTCCTCGAAATTTGCAATTCTCATAACCGTTGATTCTAACACAGCTTACGGCATTTCGGCCCATTCTTAACTAAGAAGTTTTAAATGAATATTTGATCACCACCATTTAGTGTGGTATATGTTCATCATTCGATTTATCATCGTTAGATGAGTTTGAATTTGAGATTTAAGTTTATTCATTACACGAATCTCAAAATTTAAATTCATCTAACGGTGATAAATATGATATTGAGCATATATCACACTAAATGTTGGTGAGCAAAAATGCTCCCAAAGTTTAACATCAGTTTATCGGAAACACGGTCATACACATTAAATGTTTATATAAGTGGTTGGATATTTGAAAATAAAAATTATCATCCATTTGTGTTATGGTAGATGATATATTGAAAAGTGTTATTTACATCTTGAAAAATTTCTCCGTGTTATAATGCTATCTTATTGTCTGACTAAACTAAATTATCATAATGTATTGTAAAATAGTGTTGTGAATAAAAAAAATATATCAATTGAAAATGTTTGTACATTGATAATGCGATCGTAGATTTACCATTACACATATTATAATTATAAAAAATTTGAAATATTAAATGAGATTTTTGAAATGCTAATAACGATTATATATATATATATATTATAATTGACATGTTGAATATATTTAAGTCAAATAATAACCAACTTTTGGTGTATTGGGTACTAAACATTTTACTCCCATTGGTGGTCATTGAGCTGGTCTCAAACACAGAAAAAATCTGGAAGTTTGACTCCTTTAACTTTCACATGTTTTCACACGGCTGGTTTTGTTTTCTTCTTTTAAGTTGAGTCTGTCAGGCACCTAGATGGTGATGAAGAAAACCGTAATGAAATCAGACGGCTACGAATGAAACTATAAATATTTTATAATATTTTTTTAAGAAAGCTCGACGGTAATGAAACTACAAATATGATGCTACTACCATTAGTTTGCATGTTTTAGCAGCAAGGAACGTGGTGGCACTGCATGCGTTTGACCTCAATGTCTTGATGTGGACTCACACCAAGAGCAACTTTCATGTTACGGTTATTCCGTTGTCATAGTGTTGTATGCTAATCCGCTTTGCAACGGTCAGGATTGATGGATTGTATACAAACTAATCCATGCTGGAAGGATTCACAAAGGTGTTTTGTCAGGAATTTAGATCCTCAGAGTTTGAGGATAGCGTTGAGGTTTTATTCAAATTACATTGGCATAAATACTCTTAGATTATCTCTAAAGGAGATTTCAAATCTTAAGTGGAATGTCATGTAATCAAATTTGAAGGTAGGAGCAAGCTCTAATCGATATGTCAATTCTATGTGGATTGACATATGAGTTTTTATATGTCAAATTTGACATATGAGAAAATGTGATGTCAAATAATTTTTAATTATTATTTTGTGTGGACCCATTAATGCACTAATTAT